GAAGGCTTAACCATTCATAAACATAGCAGTTTCTCTGAAACTGCTATGTTTATAAAAGAATGGGTTAAGCCTAGCTGGACCTGGCACCCAGACCACTTCATTAAGCTGAAGTGGTCTGGGTGCCTAGAGTGGTCCTTTAAGTGTGTGTGCATCTGCATGCACTGGCGTACATACCGCGGTCGCAGGGATCGCAGCCCTGTAACCCCTGTGACCAGGTGCCCACCGCCATGTGTTGCGGCCCGGCCCGCGCGCGAGGGGGGGGGGTCACGGATCAATTTTCGCACCGGGGCCCCATGGGTCATGTGTACGCCACTGGCCAAGGAGGTGATAAGATGCTCCTAAACAAGGAAGCATTTTGGATACATGAACTGGACACAGTCGCCCCTAGAGGACTGAATGAATTGCTGTCCTTACACTCGTTCCTATGATGCTATATTTCTACCCTAGCTTGCATATGTTTTTATTGTATATTTAGTTATTGTTTAGTCATTATTTAGTAATTTGCTATTATAGTATTGCATAAGTGGTAGCTCTAATTAGGAGGGCCTATTTAAGAAATAATTTTTGCACAATTTGACATAAATTACTATCCAAAATTACAGAAGTGTTAATAGGGATAGTTTGTTTGGCCCCCAATAAAGAGGATAAAAATATATATGAGCATATCTTAATATATGCACATGTATATCCTTCAGCTTTTCTCTTTAGCAATACTATATTTTTATTGATCTTAATAATAGGATGCTTGTATCTTTATATGGTTCATTTGCACATCAAGCACTTTTTTTATGTGGTCACACTTTAATATTTTGCACTTAGCACTTTGCACTTCAATAATATGCACCATATTTGGACATGGCACTTTGAAAAGCAATAGTGGTATATTGCCTTATTGTATATTATATATGAATCACAATAATATTTCATTAAGCCATTGCATTGAGCATTTTACCAATATCTACAAGTATACAATATCTAGTTGTACTAGACTAGAATTATACTGCACTGTATTTATTTTGATTTATGCTGTTATCTTCTATATTTTTTTCTCACACCGTATGCTAAGTAAAACGGCCGATCACATGTAGTGGGGACGGTGCTAGCTACATGCTACCATGGTGATCTCTTTTGTTGTACCGCGTCACCATGGCAGCGACGGTAGCATCACGTGGTGACGTCACGTAAATAGGTGGGCTTAACTGTGAATGCACACTCTAGTGGCAAGAACGCCGGTTTTATCACAAACAGCACCTGGGGTGAGTTATTCACTAATATTATAATTATTTTATCCTTTATATATGATATGTCTTTGTTAATGCATTTACAATCCTGATGAAAGTCCACAAGATGGACTGAAACGTCGATTTGTTTTTTAGAATTTGAATAAAAGTTAATTTTTATTGGAAAACCCGTGAGTGCAGAATCCTGACATCATCACAGGGGGCCCGGTCACACTCTAAAAGCGGCTGGGCCCCTGAAAATCCATCGCCATTGGCTGGCCCTTAGAGCATTGACCACTCGATGAGCCTCTACATCGCGCGGCCCGCGGTGGTAGTTCCACGTGGGCCGCACGCACCACGGTGGCCGTAGGGCTAAAGGGGTAGCTGCTTTGGGCCCCCTAAGACTGATTGGGCCCATGGCAGCTGCTCCCTTTGCCCTGTGTTAAAGACAGCCTTGGCTACAGCAATATAACAGTACTGTGCAATACAAAAGCAAATACAAACGTACAAAATTAAGCCCTTCATTCACTCCCAGCAATGACTATAGTACACATCAGCCTTAATACATACAATTTAAAAAAAAAGTTACTTGCACACTATCCCAAATCCCTATGCACATTAAAATAACTGGATGGTTTTTTTTATCATCACTCCATTGGCCAATAAAGCTTAAACTCACATGCCACATCAAGGCAAAACCTCTTAGGTAAGTCCTACACTAATAATTAACATTGGTAGTGCAAGACTTGCCTAAGAGGTTTTGCCTTGGCAGGTGAGCTTACAATTTAATGGCAATTGGAGT